TAAAGACTGATGGCTCATTTTAACGTGTTAAACATGCACATATTCTAATTATTCACTGTTATGAGCACCAGTCTATGGCCCTTGATCAGGCCCTCTGCTTCGTCTGTGTTTAGACATGTGGCTCTTGATGAAAAAAGTTTGGACACCCCTGATTTACATAAATTAGAGAGAAGAGTGTGGAATGAAAACCTTTCAGTCATTTGCAGCTGAACAGAACTGTTTTGCGCCTGGATTTAAACAGCATCAAAGTAGAGTCTGTCTCACATGTTCAGGAAGACCATTCCAGGTTTTAGCTGCGTGAACCTGAAACGCTGACTCCCCGTGTTTTGTCCTGACTCTGGGCTCTCCGAGTGCAAGATGGTTCATACGGCACTAACATGTCACAGATGAACTTTGGTGCTCGGCCATGGAGAGACTTGTACACAAGCAGAGCAGCTTTAAAGTCGATACTCTGAGCCACAGGAAGCCTTACTTCTGTACTTCTTGTTTCGAGTCAGGACCCGAGCTGCAGCGTTCTGGATGTTCTGCAGTGTCTCGCAGCTCGTTTGGAGAGACCAGTGAGCAGACCATTACAGTATCTAACCTACTGGAGACAGACACATGGATAAGTCTCTCCAAGTCTGCTTTAGACAGTAAACTTTTGATTTTTGCTATGTTTTTTAGATGGTAAAAAGCTGCAGATGTTATTGATTTGATGTGGCTGTTAAAGTTCAAGTCTGAGTCCATTATTGCCCTGAGATAATTTGCCTGATTTGAAGATTTTAGAGAGAGAAAGACTGGAGGTGACTGCTGACACTGTCTGTTTCTGTGGGCCAAAGACTCTGACTTCAGTTTTGTCTGAGTTTAGCTGGAGAAAGTTGTTTTGCATCCACACACTGATCTGTTGGATGCTCGTAGATGTCGGCACTTGCCATGGATAGCTGCATATCACACCAAAGAGCAGCTGATTTGTTTTTTCATTGGTACCAAAATGACTACGCAATGACACCTTGAAAATGAGCCACATCACTCCAATCTCTCCAAATACAACTCCGGGTGAGTAAATAGTGAGCGGAAACAACTATAACACGGTTTAAGTCGATTTTGCATAATTGGTCCTCTTTAAACAGTCCATTTTGTACCAGCACGTCACGGTTAGCTCACCTTCACCGCAGCTCTCGCGTTTAGCCTCTCCTGTTGTGTGTGATCATTCGTTACAGTTCTCTCTCTCTCTCATCCTCTCGTCATCTGCTCAGTGTTCAGCGGACCGAGAAACCATCCAATCAATGGCAGGCAGTGTGGCTCTGAGCTGCTCTCATCAGCCCCGCTCGTATTAACACATAATGGACAGACCAAGTTGAGCGGAGAGCGGTCTCCTGACAGCGCCACACGGAGACCGAAGGCAAAAGAGTCTAAAACTAACCCGATAAGACAAGGAGAGTGGCAAGACCGCTCTTCTACCAACCCAAAGCCTTGTTATTGTGTCAGTGGAGAGATTTCACCCACATATGTATTAGAACGGATTCGAAGGACTGAAATCTGACCTGACAAACTAATACGAGAATCACTTTTCAGAGCATGTTTGTGCAGATCTAAACTACAGGGTTAGCGGTTGTTAGGCAGAATAAACAGGAGATTTTGTTGTTTGTGGAGGAAATTATGGTACGAATTGTTTCATTTGCACAATTTAATAATCCTGGATATTTGGGGTGGATTTAACAGAATCACCACATCAAAATTGAGACTAAACTGAAACAAAACCCAGAACCTAAACCTGGACTAGACAAGGATTAAAACATGACAAAACCAGGTCTACATCTTTTTGTCTTTATTTAGATATTTTATCCTGACAATGCTGATATTTGGAAATTGTTATTAAATAAAGTTTGGAAAAAAACAGAAAAAACAGGTCTACATCAAAACTCAAAACTTCAAATCAAGACCAAACCAGGATATGAACACACTCTTAAGGCCCAATCAGGGACAAATATCCAGTGACGTAGCGATCTTATTATCCGGAAGAAGGAGAAGAAAAGGAAAGACCCATGAACTGAAATGGAGAGCCACAAACATTACTGGAGTATAAATATATATACGCCGCAACCACCGAGCTGATGCCAGGACTACACCGGGACTGGACCAGGACTAGACCAGGAGTAAACCAGGACTGAACCAGGACTGTGTGTCAGTGTCATTAGTGGAGTATTAATATATACACGCCACAACCGCCTAGCCGATCGCCAGGACTAGACCAGGACTTAGACCAGGACTATACCAGGACTAGACCAGGACTAGACCAGGACTTAGACCAGGACTAAACCAGGACTGGACCAGGACTGCACCAGGACTGCACCAGGACTGCACCAGGACTAGACCTGGACTGCACCAGAACTGCACCAGGACTGAACCAGGACTGAACCAGGTCTAAACCAAACCTGATGGGTTTTATGTAACAAAAACACTAAAGCCTGTCACAATCTGGTCCATCGTTCTGCGAAAAGACCTGGAAACGGCACTTGTT